CTCTTGTCAAGGGCTTCCAAAAACATCTCTTTATTGGATTCCTCCTCATTTTTCTTTGGCCTTCCAAGGCTAGACTCTAGAGTGATAGATTCAGGATTTGCTTTCAGGTATTTTGATAACTTTTGGAGTAGTTAGAATCAGTGTCAGTTCCCTCTCAAAGCCTTTACCATGAGGGAGGCCGGAGGGAGACCAGAACTTGGTACTCTCTGGAGATCTGCTGAGATCAGAGCTGCTATACCCACCCTCTCAGGTTGTCTCAGGAATCTACATTTTTAATAAGCCATCCTAGGTGACTCCTGGGCAAATTTAGTAAATAGTGTTCTAAGCCACAGGGTCCCAGCCTGGCCCCACTTTGGAATCCCTTAGAAGGCTTTATGAGACCCCAGTGAGTAATCTCAATGCCTGGTATTCTGGTTTATTTTATCTCATTGTAATCTGGGGACATTTTTTGGAATAGAGTTATAATTTACAAACAAGTAAATGCACCTCTTGAGGGGTAGATTCAATTAGTTCTGACAAACCGTCATTGGAAACAAAATAGAAAACATCCCTTCTCAACACCCCACAATGTCCCTTGGGCCATTCAGTCCCCACCCAGGGTAAACCTGTCCCTACAGAACTTCTGACCTCTCCCTAGCTTACTTCACCCGATTCTGAACTTTGAGGAGTGGAGCCAGGTGATATGTATTTGTGCTGGAGAGTATGTTTATTCACCACAAAGAATTAGGGAGAAGGGCAGGTGTTCTCTTGGTAACCCAGATGTACAGCTAGAATGGATTAAGATCCACTGCTGCAATAATCTCATTGAACCTTTACAAATTATGCTCCCTACAGCCAGTATCAGGCAAAATGAAGAACTGTGGGGGAGGGAAGATTTGTCTCTATGCCACTGGGCAAGTCCTCTCAGCCAGGTCCTGGAGATAACATGAGTTCTTACACCAGACTGTATCCAAGCCTCACTCCCTTTATCCCCTTCATCCTTGAGTTCACATGGCTTCCCAGTCTGATAAGGGAGGAGATTTTAGTATTACCATATTATAAGCAAGGAAACTGAGGTCCATGCAGATGGCCGCAGTCCTTGTGCTAAACACTTTTACCCACTGCTGCCTGCCCAGAGCTGGTGTGATACCCTCCCCCGAACAGCTTGTCATTTCTCCACTGAGACCCTCATTAAGGCTGATCAGAGAGAAAGGAATTCCCTGCCTTTCTTCCTACATGACCACCATAAAGGTCCCCATCTTCAGGGGACTCTAAAATGTCCTCAGTGCACTTTCAAAAGGTTTCTTGGCTCTGTGAACCCCAAGTCCTAGAGAATCTCTCTTGGACCTTTTCTGACATGCAGATCTCCAGTTGGGGATGTAATTCAGTGACAGAGCGCTTGCTGCCATAGCAACGTTCTGGGTTCCAACCCCAGCACTGCAAATAAATAAATAAACAAAGTCCAGACACTTGCAACCCCATCTTGCAACCAGATCTACAAGTTGAACCTGGGTGTTATACTTTAAAAAGTCTTCTGTCCATGGGCCAAGCATGTAGGAGCTGTGGCCCACAGGAAGAAGACAGAGTATGGTTTCTGGCAACATCTTCCGGCCAAGTTGATTTTTGGTCACCTGCCCAGGTGGACACTAGAGGGAGGGATCTGAAAGACTCCACAGCTGCTCTTGTGCTCAGACAGGTCAGGTGTGTCCAATCTGCGGCCTGTGGCCCACAATACCTACAAATGGGGCCCAGCACAACATTGTAGACTTACTTAAAACATGAGATCTTTTTTGCAATTTTTTTTACAATTTTATGGTTCTTTTTTATATTTTATTTATTATTTTTATTTCATGTGTATGAGTGTATTGCCTGCATCTGTGTAAGAGCATCCATGTTTTACAATGCCTGCGGAGGTCAGAAGTGGTCATTGGATTCCCTGGAACTGTAGTTGCAGATGATTGTTAGCCGTCATGTGGGTGATGGGATTTGAAACTTGGTCTTCTGCAAGAGCAGCCAGTGCTCTTAACTGCTGAGCTGTCTCTCCAGCCCCAATTGTATAGTTCTTGAGTGTGAACTTTACAGATGATAGTGTTGTACTGCACTGTCCAAAGGTTGGACACGCCTTATTATAGACAGTCCCATGACTCCCTATAAATTGCTCTTGCCCCTGTTTCTCCCAAGATCCCTGCTGGCAACCAGCCCCGGTCCTCAGCCATGCCTTTGCCCTCTTTCCACAGGTTACTCCATAATGCAGGCGGTACAAGCCACCATGATCCTCTCCACCATCCTCTCTTGCATTTCCTTTCTCATCTTCCTGCTCCAGCTCTTCCGCCTCAAGCAAGGAGAGAGGTTTGTCCTGACCTCCATCATCCAACTCATGTCATGTAAGTTCAACTGTGAGCATCTGCATTGTTCATCACATAAACAGAAACCAGGAGCTGAATCTTTAAGCAAAACCCAACTCCTGATCCTTTTCTTGTTATCCTTTTTATGGAGAACCAGAAGAAACAATAAATAATTCAAAGTTCAGTCTTATCCTTGTGTCCAGGTGGGCCTTGTCTCTGAGAGTCCCCTTTCCCTCACTATCCCCTCTCTCACAGATACCTAGGTCGCTGAATCTTGCATTCCTTCTCAATTGGATGACATCTAGATTTAAGGTTAACTCAGAACAAACCATTAGCAGTGTATACATGCAGAGTCCTTCTTACAGAATGAAGCACAAACACACCATTATAATATAGAACATGCAGTGTCCCTATCTTTGTGCCCCATCAAAATAACTGGAGGAGGGAAGTGAGGGGACACCCAGAAAAGAGAAGCTGGCTACTATACCATACAAACAACACATTTTATATTGATGACTTTAGAATTAGTTAGGGAGAAAGGGGCAATGTTCCCAAGGCTTGATGATTAAGCTGGGATCTGTAAGGAGAATAGTAATTGTAGTTTACAGCATACTACCTGGATGCAGAGAGGAAGGAACAGTGTGCCAGGTAGAGGGAACAACATGGCAGAAGTCCTGTGATGGGGAGGACCCAGAGGCTGGGAGAGCTGGAATGTGGAGATGAAGGTACGGTAGGCAGAGTGGCCAGACCCTATGAGGGTTACACAGGTTGTAAGAAGGGGCTTCTGGTTTGTCTTCTAAGCTGGTGGGAAGCCATCAACAAGTGTTAGGCTAGTTCCAGGATGAATCTTGGTTCACGATGTATCTGAACTCTGGTTTTGTTTCTGACAGGTCTATGTGTCATGATCGGGGCTTCCATTTATACGGACCGGCGCCAAGATATTCACACCGACAACTATATTATCTATGCGGAGACATCGGAAGGCAGCTATGGTTACTCCTTCATCCTGGCCTGGTTGGCCTTCTCTTTCACTTTCATCAGCGGCCTCATGTACCTGATCCTGAGGAAGCGCAAATAGATTCAGGGAGCTGGGCTGCTCTCCCCACAGCAGGGCATCCACATTCACATAACCATTTTGTATATAATCATTTTTTGTGGTTTTTCTAGCAAACATATTGTTTCCTTTAAAAGCTTTAAAAAAGAAGAAGAGAGAGGAGTTTTTGCATTCTTAAGATCAGAGACTGAACCATGAAGGCTGGTTAGAATGCCTGCCCACCAGAAAGTCTCAGTCAGGCGAAGCAAGATCAGCATGGAGGAAATCAGCAGGACAATTCTTCCCTGTGGGGCTGGACTGGAGTGTGACTGGAGGTGTGGAAAGCAGGTCTCTGGGGACAGACTCCCTCAAGGTTTCTGCCTTGTCCCGCCTTCCCTTCCCTTCAGCAGGTGGGATGAAGAGGGGCGTCTATCTGTAGATGTTGACCCCAAGTTCATGTGAGAAACAGGTAAAGACAAGCCCTGGGGTTCTGTCTATAAGTGAGCCAGAGTCCCAACCCTCCTGCAGTGAACCAGGTCACCACCCAAATTTACTGACAGTCTGCTGCGTGTCTTTGGGACAGTTGATCCTTAACCTACATGCCACATTTAGGCAGAGCATCTCTGTAGGTGATTTCTTAGGGCATCTTATGTGCAGACTTTCAGTCCACTTGGCAGACCTTCAGAATCTCTCATCATGGGATGGGACTGGGTTTTTGAGGTTCCAACAAGCTCCTCAGAAGTGCTTAGGTGCAGTAAAGTTAGGGACCATAGTCCCAGAGTCAGGGGAGAACAACCACCCCATAAATGTTGGCAGACTCGTGTTGAGATGGCCCCACTGCTGGCCACACCTTGGCCTCCACGAGCTCTGTCTCTTCAACAGCTGTTTACATCTGGGCTACCTGTGCTCCATTCCCAGGCCATATGTCTCCATAGCCAGACACCTCCCTGCCCTGTTGTAGAAAATCTGTCCTTTCTCTTCCTGTGCTGCAATCTAAGGTAGACTGCTCCCATTAACCCCTGTTTCTGAAGCCTCGGAAGATCATCTACCATCCATCCATCCATCCATCCATCCATCCATCCATCCATCCACATGAATGGATCGTGTCACATGGCAGTGCTGGGGTACCCTCCCAAGATGATTTCTTTCCTCTTGAGGCTCAGTCTGGAGAAGAACACAGACTAGAAATGAATTAGGAAAATTACCAACTATGATGGAGCTGTAGGGAACCCCACCAGAGATTCAAAACAGGCCAACAGGGTGGGAGGGAACCAGCTTTCTACGTGCCTGCTTTTAAGTGCCATGAGGCATTTAGATGGCTCTAAATATAGCTCCATTCAGATGTAACAGATACCATTTATTGGACAGAGCCCATCTGTGTTCCACCCAAAGAACATTTCTGTGGAGGGTGTCACAGTCCCCACAGTAAGTGAGACAAAAGGGTTCCCCAGAGCTATGCTTCTCGATCTTTAACAGGTATCTTGGGAGACTCCAGCTTGGCAGGTCAGAATAAATCAACAGTCCAGTTGATTCCAAGATTGTACTGAGAAATGAGGCCCTAGGAAAGTTGTCAATAACACACGAGAAACTGTGCTGTTCTGGAGACTCCAGAACTCTAGAAAGATGTCTCTTCCCACCTCCGTATCTTTTCTTTCTTGTGTTTTAAGCATCAAGCTGGGGAGGTCCTGGGACAGGATGTGGGACTTTGTGCTAAAGGTAGGGGTGGGTGATTAACCACAAGCTCAGTTCCAGTGGAGCTGGGCTGATGTCAGATCTGAGTGACGAGGGTCATCAGGACATGCCTTCAGTACAGGATTAGCTTCCTTCTTTCTTTATCCCTCCCTCCTTCCCTCTTTCCTTTTGTCCTTTCCTTTCTTCCTTCCTCCATTGGAGAGCCCACTAGGGTGACAAGAAGCTAGAGAAAGGCAAATGACTACTTCCTGCCTCAGTAGAAGACTGTGTGCTGGAGTGCAGGGTTTTTTGGATGTCTTCTGAGGCCTACAGAAGAAGGCTGGGCCTAAAGTGCCTGCCACACTTTCTGCCTGGGGCTTTTCTATTATGTTCTGATAGTCATGTTGGAAGAAAGCAGAACAGTTTAGAACCAGAGGTGTGGAAAGCCTGACCCCTGAGCCAGCATGATTCCCACCAGAGAAAGCCTCAGGGCTACAGAAGTGCTCCTGTCAAATTTGATAGGAGTGCCCCACGGGTTCTTCTGGCTGCTTGCCACTATGACCAGCTTTCAGTGCTCACATCCACCCATGACACAAGAGGTGCCTCTTTCCTGCTCTGTGCCAAACATTCAGGAAGCTGGAAAGTGACAAGGGTGTGAGGAAGAACAGATCCACCCTTCTCCTCCTAGGTAGAATCAGCTCTCAGTTGGTGCTTAACACCTGTTATCAAAGAACATGGACAAAGCCAGCCAGGCTATCCAAGAAATAAGCATTAGGACCAAACCTGTCACTGCATTTGAAGGAACCGTAGTTTGCGCATCTTACGACATTTTTATAAAGTACTGTAATTCTTTTGTTCGGGGGGGGGGCATGTGACGGAGACAGACTAACCCGTGTTTGTCATTTGCATTAAAGTTATTTGAGGTCTCTGTTTAAAGTGTTTAGTGAATGTTTCTGTGTTGTTCTGCATGTCGTGTGTCCGTGGACCCCAATACAGAAGAAGCAGAGACCAGCATCCCAACCCCTGCTATGGGCTGTAGGGGGTATGGTGGGGGGTGCACCCCTCTCACAAATGGGCAGACATTATCTAGGACTATTCCTGTGGACTGAAGTCAAAGAAACCCTAGAGCCCGAATGTAGACATACTATGCCCAAATGTAGACACACTACACACAGCTGCCCCCAACAGGAGCTGTGTCAGCAAACTAGATGGAAGTTACTAAACTCCCTAATAATGTACGGGTTACCACACAGCAAGGCTTGCAGAGGGCAGCAGTGATGGGGAAATGCTAGGGGAAGATTAGAGGTTATGTGGAATCTTGTTTTGGGGAAAAGTGTGGTTTTATGGTAGTAAGAGACTTCCTACTTCATATACCCTTAGAATAGTATCTTTTCTGTTTTGTGTAACTTGAAACTGTACATGAAAAATAAAATGTTAAGCCAGATTCCCCAGAGTCACAGACTCTAATGGTCTCTGTAGTGGTGACACCTAGGGTAAGGTACTAGAATGCCAGGCAGCCACAGGAGTTCCCATCAGTTCTTTAATGTGACCCTTGCCTAGTGGCACAGGCTTGCTATCCCAGCTCCTCAGGAATCTAAGTCAAGTTCAAAATCTGCCAGGGATACAGAGTGAGTTCAAGGCCAGCCTGGACAACTTAGTGAAACTCTGTTTCAAAATAAAAAGTAAAAAGAGGAGATTGGAGAGATGGCTCAGTGGTTAAGACCAGCTGCTCTTGCAGAGGATCTGGGTTTGGGTCCCAATACCCACACGGTGGCTAACAAGGGTCAGTAACTCCAGTTCTAGGGGACCAGTGTCCTCTTCTGGCTTCCACTGGTGTTGCAAACACTTGGTGCACTCGCATGCATGCAGGCAAAACACTCATACACATCAAAAGAAATTTTTTTAAATAAAAAGAGGGCTGTGGATGTAGTTCAATGATAGAGTGCTAGTCTAGCATGTACAAGGGTCTGGGCTCAATCCTCAGTATTAGGGGTGGGGAGAGATAATGTATGGTTTTTACAGCTAGTAACCAGTGATTGACAGCTCATCACAGACTAGCCTCCACTCCCTCCTCTTCTATCATGGGGCTGGCCTAATGACTGTTCACACCTGTTCACACAGGCTCCCACGCATTGAAGGGTTTGGTGCTTAATGGATTTTGATGTCCAAGTACTGTCTTAAAATTCTTAGTGATCACATGGGATCCTCTCTCTCTCTCTCTCTCTATATATATATATATAGAGAGTATATATATACTATATATATAGTATATATATGTGCATGTGTATATATATATATTCTTTTTTATATTTTATTATTTTTTATGAGCATGCGTGTATTGCCTGCATGTAGGTAAGTGCACCCGTGTCATGCAATGCCCGAGCAGGACAGAAGAGGCTGTCGGATCCCCTGGAAATGGAGTTACAGACAGTTGTTAGCTGCCATGTGGGTGCTGGATTCGAACCTGGGTCTTCTGCAAGAGACTCCAGCCCCAGTTTTTGTTTTTGAAGGGAAAGAAAGCAAAGTTTATTAAGAACTAGAGTAATAGTTTTTTTATTTCCTTTTCTTTTATCTTTTTTGAAACAAGGTCTCTTGAAGCCAAGGTTGACTGACCACTATGTACATTCTCAGAATGACCTCACACATTGGCTCCTCCTGCCTCTACCTCCTGGGTGCTGAGATTACAGGTATGTACCCCAGGCCCAGTTTATGCAGCATTCTACCAACTGAGCCTCATTCGAAGCCTCTCAGATGAGAATCTTACCTTGGTTCTACCTAGAGCACAACAGACCGGGTCTGTCCAGCCAGTTGTCTTTGTGTTTTTGTCATTTATTTTGTTTTAAGCCTATGAACTGAAAGTGTTTTGTACATTTTAAAGGGGTTGGTGGGGGGTATGAAAGAAAAAGATGACACCTGACCGGTAAAGATGACATTTCATCGGAACATAGCCACGCTTTGTTTGCACAGCTCTGTGCGTGGCTGCCTTCACATCAAGTTGTCACGGCAAAGCTGAAGACACTGTGTTGTCCCACACTGTGCTGACCTGAGAGTCCAGTTGTCTGGCCTTCGAGTTTCTGGGTCACTGAATCTCCTTCCAGGTCAGCTGCAGACCTCCTGGAGGAAGACTCCACCCTCTTTGCTCTCAAGTGGTTTAGGTCTGAGATCTTTCTCTTGTAGGATCTTACTGAAGGCTGTAAAAAGTTAAATATGCCTATATTCTGACCTGTTTCTGTCTTAATACAACAGCCACTCTTTCATGGATAGTGTAAAAAGCTGATAGTGGGGGCTGGAGAGATGCTCAGAGGTTAAGAGCACTGACTGCTTTTACAGAGGACCCGGTTCTGATCCCAGCACCCTTATGATGGTTAAGAACTACCTGTAACTCCAGTTATGGGGGTTCTGGCACCATCTTCTGGCCTCTGTAGGCATTGCACGAAACAGGTGTGCTTACAACATGCAGGGAAAACACTCATACATACACATTTTTTTTTAAGATTAATTTTTTTAAGTGACAGTTTGGGCAAGCAATATGGCTCAGAGGGTAAAGATGCTTGCCATGAAGCCTGATGACCTGAGTTTGATCTCCAGAACCTACCCATATGGTTGAAGGAGAGAACTAACTCCTGAAATTTGTCCTTTGATCACTCCACAAATGCTATGGCACGTATATACACACACACACCCACTTTCAAGAGGTGAAAGTTTAAACCAAATTCAAACCATGGTCCATTGGTCAAATACACACCCACTCATTTTCTGTTTTTTTTTTTTTGTTTTTGTTTTCTTTTGTGTGTGTGCATTTGTATGGGGAGAAGGTACATGTGCTTGTGGAGGGCAGAGATCAGCCTCAGGTGTTCCTCAGGTGCCACTGACCGTGATATTCAGACAAGGTCTCTTATTGACCTGAACTCACCAAGGATCCACCTGTCCCCACCTCTCTGGCACGGGGATTACAGGTGCACACCACCATATCTGGCTTTAATTTTAATTTTTTTTTAGCATGGATTCTTGGGATTGAACTTAGGTCCTAGTGTTAGCAAGGCAAGCACTTTACCAACTGAGACATATCCCAAGTCCGGGGTGAATATTTTCATGAGAGGAGAAACACCACAGGGAACCATAAAACCTAAAAACATTTCAGACCCTGGAAAAGCAGGAATGCCACCGCCCCCTGGTGGTAGTAGGGAGCAACAGCAATAAAGAACAATTTGATTCTGTTGAGGAAATCCTGCTGATGAAAGCTCATTCCTCCTTGCAGTGAATCTGCTACCACCAGAACAGGGCCATGTGCTGGTTGCTATTAATCTCAATGTATTAATTTTTAGCCATGAGATTTTGGCTCCCTTTTCTCCCTTTAGTTAAGTGTTGTTACATTGAGACAAATTTATAGTTACAGATTGGATGTCAGTGTGGAATTTACCTAACAGTTGCCCTCTTTATCCGTAGGTTCCGTGTTCATGGGTTTTGCGTCCCAAATTCAATCACTCACCAATGAAAAATACTTTGAATGTGTGTTGTGTGTGGTGTATTTACTTGTTAGTATGAGTGTATGTACGTGTACATGTGGGGACGTGTGTGTGTGTGTGTGTGTGTGCCTGTGTGCCTGTGTGTCTGTGTGTATGTATAGCCAAGAGGTTGATGTCAAGTGTCTTTCCTTGATTGCTCTCCGCCTTAATTTTTACTTATTTATTTTTAATTGGCTGGAGAGATGGCGCAGCAATAATGAGCAGGTACATCTCTTCCAAAGAACCTGTGGGTTCCTAGCACCCACAGTAGGACGCTCACAACCACCTATAATTCTAGCTCCAGGAGATCCAACACCCTCCTATGGCCTCTGCATGCACCTGCATTCTCTCAATTCTCTCTCTCTCTCTCTCTCTCTCTCTCTCTCTCTCCCACACACACACATAAATAAAAGTCTAATGGGCTGGAGAGATGGCTCAGTGATTTAAGAGCACTAGCTGCTCTTGCAGAGGATCTGGGTTCCATTCCCAGCATCCACATAGTGGCTAACAGCCCATGACTCTATTTCTAGGGGATCCAACACCCTCTTCTGACTTCCAAGGGCATTGCATGATATAGGTACACTTACACACATGCCAGCAATACACTCATAAAAATATAATAATAAATAAAATATTTAAAATAAATAAAAATTTTAAAATAAATCTTGAAATTTGATTTTATTTTGTTGTATGTTTGATGTGTGTGCACATGCCACAGTCATTATGTGGAAAGCAGATGCCTAAGGAGTTGGTCTTCTCCCTTTTTCCTCACGTGGGTTCTGGGGATCTTCAAACTTTACCCACTGAACCATCCTCCTAGTCCCTCTACCTTTATTTTTTGAGAGAGGGTCTCATTGAACCTGAATCTCACCAATTTACCCAGGCTGGCTGGCCAATGAATTTTGGAGACCCTCCTGTCAATGGGACACTGTGAGGATCTGGGGCACAGCTGCCTCTGCGATAAGATTGATATGTACCAGGAAACAGCAATAGATTGTAATAGGCAGTCTCTTTTTAAAAATTTGTATGTGTATGTGTGTCTGTGTGTATATACATGTATGTATTAGTGCCAATGGAGGCCAGAAGATGGTGTCAGATCCACTGAAACTGAAGTTGCAGGTGGTTGTGAGCTGCCCAACTTGGGTGCTGGAACTCTGGTCCCCTACGAGAGCAACAGTGCTCCTAACCACTGAGCTCTCTCCAGCCCAGCAATTCTTTGTTTTGTTTTGTTTTGTTTTGATTTTTCGTATATGTATGGATATGTGTTATTCATGTTGTATGCATGTTCACATGTGTGGGCACATGTATAGGAGTACATGGAGGCCAGAGGTTGATGTTGGGTGTCTTTCTCAATTATTCTCCACTTTATTTCTTGAGTCAAGGTCTCTCTAAACCCAGAGCTCGCTAGTTTGGCTAGACTAGCTGGCCATC